GATCCCTAATGGGTTAAAGTCGATCCCTAATGCAATCCAATTGAAAAAGGAAAATACTAGATCACTCCTTCAATTTGAACATAAGTAACAACTCTAGTATACATATCTTCAATGACTTGAATATAAGTCATATCAACACATTTCTTCTCAAGAACTCTCTAAAGGATATCTCTTTGAACCTTATTGTAAGCTTTTTCTAAATCGGTAGAAATCAAATGTAGATCCTCGTTATTATCTCTGAACTTCTCCATCAAACCTCTCAATAAATGCATAGCTTCCAAGCTTCCATAGTAGGTTCCATAGTAGGCCTGCCCGGCATAAATCCAAGTTGATTATGAGAAATCTTTGTAATACGTCTTAACCTATGTTTAATTACCCTCTCCCATAATTTTAAAGTATTACACATCAACTTAATCCCTTTATAATTTGCACACTATTGTGCATCCCCTTTATTCTTAAAACTGGGGACAAAAATACTCTTACTCCACTCCTCGGGCATCTTTTTAGTTTTTAAAATAATATTAAAGAGCTTAATAAGTCAAGAAACTCCCAAACCTCCTAAAAATTTCCACACTTCAATTGGGATATCATCAGGTCATACAGAATTTCCACTCTTTGTTTTCTTTAAAGCCTCCTCAACTTCTTTTTTACGAATGCAACTATAAAAATGAAACTTTTTATTATTATTAATGATATTAAGATCACTAAGGTCGATCGTATTTATTTTAAAAAATTTCATTAAAAAAGTTTATCAAAATATAATTATCAAGTCTTTAGATCTACTTCAACTTTCCAAGCCACGTAACAAATTTCAGCTAAAGAACATACATGCTCTAGATTAAGGGGGAGAGCTAGCATAGAGTATTTTTTTCAAGAGACTCCACCATATATAACTAGTACAATATGTTTACTACATTGTACCCTAGCATATTTTTCTTGGTTCTACTATTACAAATAGTGGGGCACACTTAAATAATATATTAAATCTCTTCTAGCTCAAAGTCACAACATTGACATTAATTTCTAAGAAAAGAAAGCAAGTTATTTATTAAACTGATAGAAGAAATACTGTATTTAGCATTCAAACATATCAAAACATTCACTTTAAGTGGTATCAAATCTTAACAAATATTGTCACGCCCACTAGGTCAACCTTTTGGATAAAAAAACATTTAATTATAAGCCACTTATGAGAATTGCTAGAGCATTAACACAGAAACTTAACAATGTAGTCAAGGGTTTAACCTTCAAAAGAAAATCCAATTAACTTCAAAAATTTAATCACAAAATTAAAGACGGTAAGAACAAAACACAAAAACAGAGTTTAAAACAAAAGAAGAGCTCAACAAACTTACAGCATAAGCATCATATATACGGTCTGAATGATGTGGCTGTATGAAGTCATCATCAGTGGCATGTCCTAACAAAGCCGGAACAAAACAACACTTTGCTGGCTGCATATAATGCTGGCTGCATATAAGAACACCCAAAAAAAAAAATTTCTGATAATAGAGCATAGAAGTCTAAATTCAAAATACATCTTAAAGATCAACACTCGTTCTTACAGAAGAGGAGAGTTGCCCAAAAACATTCAGAATGATATGGCATTAAAACACATATGTGGATAGCATGTAAATATAGCACAAATCAAATAATTAACTGCATGAATATTTATTATAATAATAAGATATTTATACACATTTCCAAAAACTTATCAGTTAAAAGGTCAACAAAAAATAATAAGAGATTAATATATATCAATTTAAATATTATATAATTTAATATTAATTTTATAGAATAAGCTAGTAAATAATCTGGTAGTTATTAACATTATTCAGTTAATTTTAAAATATATTAGAATATACATAAAAAAATTATATTCCCTGTTTCTAAGTGTATGTGTAAATTTGGAGTGATTCTAATATATTCTGTCACAAAAAGTTCTTAACTGAAGATCTTTAACATATTAATGAAAAAAGAAACTCTAAAATGAAAGAGACAAAAAAGCCTTCATGTGCAAAACATGCTTCATTGGGAGAGTAAACACCGGATAATAATATTCAAATTAATCATTTTCAACTAAAACGTTAAGCCTTGTATCCATCTTGAAGTGGCTATATCTGTCCACTGAAATTAGATCCCAATCTCAAGAATTCTAAGAGTGTCAAATTCTATAAATCTTTTAATTATCTGATTATTTCTTTCAGACTGTTCCAATTTACAACCAGAAAGTTTACAAGAGCACTGCAACGGGAAAAGCATACATATTCTGCATGGTAAATTAAATGCAAGGTACATTTAACCATATATGGACAAAGAAAAATTTAAAGCTGGTTTCTTTTAGTTCAATTCAACCTGAATTGCATCCAGATCCATAATGTCGAAGTTTGCCTTCCTCTTGATAATCTTACGCATATGTTGTATAGCAAGCTTGACCTGGATGGAATAACTGATTCTTGATTTGCGCACGACAAAGGCAAACACAGTCTCTAAACTCAACAAAGAAATGTTAAATAGACATAACAGTGATTAAAATTCCCGTAGCATAACCAAACACATTAAAAAAACTCATTAAAACTCAGCAAAGGATGCCCTCAAATGAAATTAGCTTATGCTAGCCAAGTTGCCACCACGTGTAGAAGAAGATTTAAAGAAGCAAAATCAGCAACTGAAGCATTTTTCCTAGTCGAAGGCAGGGGTAAGATTCAAGAAGAATCGAGTTATAACCCTCTAAGTTAAAAAAATAATAAATTAAAGATGATTAATAAATATGACATAAATCATCAAAAAAATAGTTCAAAATTTTTAAAATCTAAACTTCAAAAGAAAGAAAAAAATCAATTAAAACAAAAAATAAAAATAAGTTAAGAAAATAATAAAAAGTGGTTAGTAAAGAAAATGAAAAAAAAAAAAAACAGTTCAAAGAAAATTGACAAAAATAAATTAAGAAAAATGAAAAAAAATAAGAAAATTAAGAAAAATCATCAAAAGATTAAAGAAATTTAAAAGAAAAAATAATTAAAATTAAAATCAGTTAACAATAATAAAATATAAGACAGGAAACCATCTAAAATTTTAAACATTCCGCCTCCAAACAATTCCAAACACTAACACTAAAAAGTTTCTACTTAAATAAATCTGACTTTTAAGTTTTTACCTTAATCACCTTAAGGCCTATAACCTCCAAGTGTATGTATCAAATTAAAAATGTGAAGCCTCAAGGTATTTATTGGGCTCCATATGATGGTGCACAACTCGAGGAAAATGTCTTAAATGCCTTTCTAAACTAGGAACTGCATACGACTGAGAACAAGGTTCAAATGTAAGCTTTCAAAATTGCCTAAAAAGCTTGAGCCAAAGTGTCGTCCAAATCCAAAAAGAAAGAAGAATTAAAAATAGATTCAAATTCCATTATCATTACCATTACAGTTATCCACCAATTTAGGGGTGGCTAATAGCTTTAAGTCATTACCACTAAGCGTTACAGTTTTGCATCTACAATATTGGATGCTAAATAAATTCTATGGACTTAAAGTTTAGCTTTGTTCACCCAAATTATAAGTTCACCTGCCAGGACAAAATGGAGAGGCAGTCTACAACTAACATGGTCCTCTTGAGAAGCATCCATAGAGATAACTATACTTTCTGAAGAACCCAAGGCAGGTCAGAAACATAGTTTGATAATTTGTTAGTTGGACGTTGTAATAGATGCAGGTTTCTAATGAAACAAGGGGATCACTGTAACTATTATCATAATAGCTCTTATTAAATGACATTATATTCTATGGTTAAGCCGTGAAGCAGAACTAAACTGCATTAGATTGTTGTGGAGGACTATGCTGAATGAAACTACAACTCAACAACTCATATCAAACATGAAGCCTGCGCATACAGGTAGTAAAATTTGATTCTAACAGTGGTCCAACGTACAAAATTCCATTATAGTACTGGACACGAAAACAGAAAAATCAAATTAAAAAATAAAAAGTTGAAATTTTGGTAGTAAAAAGAGCAATGAAAAAGGATTACAGCTCAATGCATGTTTAACAAAATTCAAAGCATAGTCTCATGAACAAAATGATTACTGATAAATTTGCAGATTCACTATAAATTTGCAACCTATGAATTGAAATGTCTGATTTTGCTAGTTCCTTTCACAGCCCAAATCATGACATCTAAATAGAGCCCAAGGATGTGTTTAAACATACTTTATCTTGTATATCAGCGTGCGTTATGTGTGCACATAAAAATAAGGAAACACTTGTTCGAGTGGCATTACCACCATTAAAATTGGAAGACAAAAATTCAAGCACTAGCAAAACAAAAATAAAAGAGGGACAAATCTCATATATGGCTCTAGTAATCTTTTTCATACGGTGAATTTTGGTAACGGGTATTTATACGTGTCTACAAGCTCCATCATTAACTCCACAAGATTAGAAAATGGGCTATCAAGTACTAATCCTGCAATGGATGGATCTTCAGCTCCATACATCAAACTGCAAAAAAATGAGCAAAAAGTATTAAGGATATAAAAAGAGTCATAATGAAAAATATATCAAATGAGAAAAAAAATTCATTGCTACTCAGCACTAGGCAAGATTTGATTATTTATGCTACCAAGAGGATTTAAATCAAACATAAATGGATGACATGAAAAATAGAAAATGTAGCAATAAAACCAAAAAGCTTGCCATACCAAAAATGATTTTGATCCTCTCCAGTTACCTAGCAACTACACATTATTAGAAATACAATGCACACTTACAAGTTCGGATAGATTCCACCCAAAGTTATAAATTGTGAAATTAGGTATTAAAGCATTTTAAGGCATACAACTCAAAATTAAACCATCAAATTAGTTAAAGAATATAAAAAATGAAGCATTTGAGAGTAATTCTCATCAAGACTAGATAAAAAATAATATCACAGAATTTTGAGATCAATTTTCTTCCAATAAAGCATTCAAGTTAATCAAGAAATATCAAAATAATATCATAAAATTTCATACAAGTACTTAACAAAAACAAAGAAGTTCAAGAAAAAGAAGAAAATTAAAAAAAATTAAGTAAAAATATCCTAAAATAAACTAGTTATTACTAAAGACATCAAACATGAAATTTTCATCATTTAGGAGGTCTTCATAAGAATTATTATTGCATTCTATTGCTTTCTGCTCTCATTCTCACTTATAACAACATCCTTTCAATTTTTTTCAGCATATTCAATTTCAATCATTTTCCTGGTAGCTACTTAATAAATCCAAAAATAGTATTAATTGTTGAAAACATAAAAAAGTCTCTAAAGTACTTGTATGTGGCCAATTTAATTCCAAAGTATCACATCACATTTTCTAATTCAGTCGGACATACATACAACATCGATCCCAAAGAATCCTTCCAGTAGAAATTGATGAAAATTGGGATTCAAAATTGATCCTAATTTTGCCCCTCAATTATCTAATTTTCCCAAATTTAATCCTTAAGGGACAGTTTGAGAACAATTTTATACACTCAATCAACTAAATTAAGGAAATATGACGCTATGGAACTAAATTGACACAATATATATGGTCAATGGACTATTTTGATCCTTTTCCCTTAAAGGCGGTTATATTAAATTATTAAAGTTTTTAATTCTTCGATATAAAAGATGTTATGCAAACATTTTATGTTATATTTCTCAGACTTAACAAGTTCTTATTCCATCAATATCCAAAAAAAATGTCAATATTTAGATTTCCCTCTAGCAATTATGAGGGTAAAACTCCTTCAATCTATAACAAACTGATCATCCCTTATTTTTTATGTATAGTGCCACACCCCAATTGACCCTCCTCCCCTTTTTAGGGCCAACTGCAATGCGACAAAAGAAGATTCGGTTAAACTAAATTCTCACCAGTATTCATCATGACTTGCATAATCCGGACACAGTGGATAATGAACGAATCTACCTAAATCACCACAAACATACATGATATAGTTCATTTCATAACTCATTCATATTCACATATAATTGGAAGCGTAAAAATCATATCATCTAAACATATATACATAACTGCTAAATCCAAAATAATAAAAGTACGTATTCAACAGTTTGTACAAGCTCTCAAAACTATATAATGCAAAAGTTGTACATGTCTCACCTAACTACTTGCCTCGGTACTTCTTACCTCTTCTTGAAAGTTGACAACATAAAATGAGCTACAACAAGCTCAACAAAATAGTCATGATTAAAATAAAATTTTATAGACAAAAAAAAATAACATGCATGTTCATATAAAACTCGTGTACATGTTCCCAACATATGTCATAACATGTTATAATCTTATAAAACATGTAAAAGAAAAAACATGTAATGCAAGAAATCATGACTACTACATAAAGGATTTATTTCATCCATTCATATGTAATCATAAGCATATTCATAAAAGTCGTTAATCTAATCATAGGAAAGTCACTTATAATTGTATAAGCCTCAACTATTTTCATGTCATGTCATGTCATGGGTCATCACCCATCCCAAAGGCTACATTAACTATAAATAAAAGTTGGGTCTCTCCCAACATAGACTGTCCTCGTCCGATCCCAGCGGTTCCTTTCGTCCCTACATGATCCCAACGGTTACTGAAGTTTTTACCCTGTCTGAATATCAGGAGTCGAGAATCATATCACTTTCTATAATTTAGACTTGCAAGCATTCATCTAATAATCTATCTATAACATCACTTGTGAAATTTCTTAAATAACAATTCCTATAACAAATATTCATCACACACACTTCATATATCATATGCATGAGTCATAGTAGCTGAACCTACTAGTAATGTAAAATTATAGGTATTTAAATAACAATTCCTATAACAAATATTCATCACACGCACTTCATATATCATATGCATGAGTCATAGTAACTGAACCTACTAGTAATGTAAAATTATAGGTACTGTAAGTGACAAAACAAGTAATGTAAAATCATAGGTATTGTAAGTGACAAAACAAGTTTGCATTCATATAGTATATACAGGTATTCATTTCATAATATACAGAAAATCTTGAATACAATTATGTTAATAATAATCACATCAAAATCTACTAAGAGTTATTTTTTTAAGTTAGTATGGAATTATTTCACTTAAATAGACGAAGCAGCCCTGCAACGAGTTTTCCCAATATCGCCAAGTTCTTCGTCTTAGTGTAACCAACCCGGAATTCATAATCTCTTAAAAATAAATGAAATTCGTAATTGAGATATTAATTTTTTTCCCAAATATAATTTCTTGTTTTAACATGCTTTCAAGGAGATCTTCGACATAATAATGCTTCCTTGATTCTTTCCTGTTCTACTCCGTCTTCCTTTCCGCTTATCCCTTTCCCAACTCATGAAATAAACCTCCTGAAAAGTGCAGCTCTTGTTTCGACAGTCCTGAGGAAAGCTAAAACAAATAGAAAACACATGGAATATTTGCATTTGTAGAAAATTTCAAAATGAAAGTGTATAAGATTAAAAGACTATCACAAATATCGTAAAAGAGAGGTTTATACTCACTACCTTTCTCCCAGAGTTTCAAACTGAGAGCTGTTGATGCCAGAGTTAACTCAAAACACAATTGAATCACAAATATTATTGCTAAAATTCAAAACAGTTACAAATAAGATACTTGAAAATAGAAAAAACAATGACACGACACAAAAATTGGGCATCAATCGGGTGGTGAGGGGGCTATCAATGGTGGTTGTGATTGGGCAAAAGTAAGGATGTAATGGGAGGATCGTTGGAGTCAAGCAGATGGTGGCATGGGAGGGTAACAGAAACCAGGTGGTTTGAGGTTTGGGGACAGTAAGTAGAAGGCGGCAAGATGGTGGTAGGTTGTGGCAAGGGGGAAGGGAACAGCGGGGGTTGTGATTGGGCGGCATAAAAGGGGAAGGGTGGTTGTGGTTGGGTTTTAGCAAGAAGAAAGAGGAGGGTGTGTGGTTGAACTGCAGCGAACAGAGAGGTGGATTGGTCTTGGGAGATGAGGGACTGTAGCAGGCAGAAATAGGCAGGTGTTGCAGATGAACTGCAATGAATAAGAAGGGGGTAAGGCGACTGCAAGGAGAAAGTTGTGGAAGGGTAAAACGGAGGATAATCTCCACCTCAGAGTTAGATATACCCGAAGCACCACCTGTCCTCGGATATAGCCCTAAGAAGGAAAATGGAAGAAGCCGACAGTTATCTTGATAGAAAACACACAAAAACTAACCTTAAGATGAGAATAACACATATATAATCATAGATAAGTAGGAGGGGGATAGAGAAAGAGGCGGAAGCATTCCAGCCCTAATTAGGGCCGACTGATTCAGCCTCCTAGTCGAACCGGCAGTCACCTTGTTGAACCCTGGATTGGTTCAACCTTAGCAGCCCCATGTCAGTCTCTCAAGGTTGGGAGAGCTTCAACTTCATTTGTCGAAGCTTCTTTTTCTTCTTCTGCATTCGTAGCAACACTATATCAGGCTGTTAGATGAACTATCTCACAAAACATTAGAGGAGCTTTCACCACTTGCGAGCATACATTCATCTCAATCCAACCTTTGGAGGCTCAGGACTGATCAGGCTATGGCCTGCTGTCGGCAGCTAAAAAGAAGATGAGAAGTTGGTTTGTGGGGTTGGTCGCCCGTAAGAAGTTGTCGGTCGCTGGAAGTGAAGTCTCATCGCCCGCTTCGGAAGGACGTTTCAATTTACATATATATATATAATTTTAGAAAAATATGAAATCAAACTGACCTCATATTTTTCGCAGTTTAAATGAAATAGCGCTCTACCTCAAATCCTGCATCTATCCCGAGGGATAAACACAAGACTTGAAGATGAGGCTCGATCAAATAAACTAAGAAATATATGACATCCGTTTGGTCTGCAAAACCATTTTATTTGCCGACAAGTTCCCCTATTTAATACAAAGAATTAAATAGGGTTTATTTTAGACTGAGTTTGGAAAAACTTCTTATATGGGCAAGCCCCTATAGTTAATTACATCTTAAATGACCGAAGTCACCTAAAAAAACTCTCGATAAAAATCAGGGAATATTATCTTCAAAGAAGTCAAAAGGATAGAAATTTTCAACGAAATCGGACGAAAAAGTGTGAAAGAGGAAATGCTCGAACCTGAAAAAATGTTGAGGAATCCAAATGAAGAGAAACTAGGGGACGCCACAGATCCAGAGGAGAACCTCAATGACTTCCCAGTCTATCCTATGATTTGGCTCCAGTTTTGAGAAGAAATTATTAAAGTGTTTCATCCTGCCAATTTTATTTAATTAGGGCTTATATTTGCGCGATAGGGTCATACAAATTGCCTAGAAGATATGAGAGTTTATGTCGTATCGGACGACAACCTCAGAACCTAGAACGAGTTAGGGCTTAATTCGTACAGCAGAGCTATACGAATGCCTAAAGAAAAGGTGGAGGACTTATGTTACGCTAGGCAGACAACCTCGTAATCCTATGGATTGTTGTTTAA